ATATACAGGGTAGGAAAGTACCGATGGTCTATCTGAAGTTACGTGAGAGCGATAAAGTAAGCCATAGAAATCCATGTTATAGACAAGGATGGCTATAATGAAGGCGTCTAATAGTCAACGCCCATTTCGCCCTTCCACAAATAAGAAGTGGATCTTATTTGTGGAAGGGCGAAATGGGCGGCGACTATGAGACGCCTTCATTATAGCCATCCTTTTCTATCGCATGGATTTCTGTGGCTTACTTTATCGCTCTTACGTAACTTCAGATAGACCATCGGTACTTTCCTACCCTGTATAATCTGTCTATTAAATATTTCGCCTTTATAGGAAACACTCTTTCATGTGATTTTTTTAATGTTTCCAAAAAAGTTTATTCAAAGGTTTGTTATAAAATACATATTTGGGGGGTATAAATTTCTAAATCATCAGACTACACCTGATAGTTTTTTTAAATAATAGTTCTGCTTACGATTTAAATTGGAATATCGCTTAGCAGCACATTTGGAGCGTACGTAAATCTAGATTGGGTTTCCCTTTGTAATATTATGAATGACATAAGTAAAATATATGTTGTTAATTATCGTTTATTATAAAAATGTTTCATTGACTGCGTTCTAATGTCATATATGTAAACCAGCAATTTTACACCGTTGTCGGCACTTTGGTCTCACTCAGCCGTTCTCGGTGTCCTTGAATGGAGAAGCGGTGATCAGCGCCGTAATAGGAACTTTTTACTTGTACAAGAAAGCCTATTAAAATAGATAATAATCGTGATAAATATATAATTTAAAAATACTAAAATTGTTAGTATATTTTTACCTCTTACTACTTTACGATCTTTTTATAATCACCTATGTAGTTTTTTTTTGTATTTCTTGTTATTGTTATGTTATAAACTATAAGAATTGCAGAGCCTATGTTTGCCCTACATAATTTTATCCGAACTCCAATCACCCCATTCGAACGAAGCGTAGGCGAATCGATATTCCCTAATTCGCTTCCCCTTTTCTTTGTCCCAGAACCAGGAGCACCTGAAGCCGCAGATAGCCGGCGGCCTGGCCAACGCCGAGATATACTGCATGGCCTTGGGCAACGTCTACTCGGACCCGAACTACCACAACCTCAACCACTGGGCCATCCTGCAGACCCTCGCCAGGAAGGGGGTGTATTCCAACGATGCCTCGGACGCTCAGCTTACCGAGACCACGCTGATCCAGACCAACCCCCTGCGAACGGTAAGAAATCCCGATAAAAAAATTGTCCCGACCAACGTGGTTTTCGATCAGCGAAACTCCTAAAACTGATTGAAATTGAAACCCGAGGGGTGTGCCACAAGTAATTTTTGGTGTACATTTGAGATATTATAATTTAAAATTACTTTAAAAGTATAGAAATTATTTATTAAAGTATAAAAATTACCAAATTCTTTGGTAAATTACAAAAATTACAAAAAGTATGTATGAAATTACAAAAAGTACATATTAAATTACAAAAAGTACAAAAAATTACCTGATAGAGTACAAAGATTTTTAAAATTATTCTTTAAAATTACTGAAAGTACTTAAATAAAATGGTGTGATTAAAAATATTTCATACGGACTAACTTCTGCTGCTTTGCCTACATTTACCTACCTAGGTACTGTTGAAAAAAACAGTCTAGTTTGTTTATAATAAAAATTTGTGTGGAAAATAACAGTAAAAGTAAAAATCTTATTAATAAAACAAATTGTGTTTCTAAATTAGTAATGGAAGTAACCGATCAAAAATATTGAGAAATTTTATGATGAAGAGTAGTTTATTGGGAAAATAATAAAGTATGACGGCATATAAAAAATTGTAAACTTTTATTTTAAATTTAATATAATATAAAAATAGCCTGAAAACCAAATAAAAGTAGCTTTTCTAATTAAAAAAAATAGAAATAACAAATTACAGGTAGAACTGAAATTAACACCAACAATGAAGCAAGTCCTATTCAATTTGTAAACCTTTAAGTAATACACATTTTTCTAATCTCTTTATAAATTCCTTCTCCATTTTTTGCTTAAAAGGCATCCGTTGTATTGAAATATTAGTTTTCTTCTGAATTCAAAGAGTGACCGCAAAATCCACTTGTCTTTGAGACTTTGACAGAGGCGACAGGAAATATCCTAAAAATATTCTAAAAATATCCAAAAAGTCGTCATGAAAAATGAAAATGAGCATCACTTTTAGTTTTTCGAAAATCACCCTTATTTATGGGTTGAAAAGACAGAAAAATGTGAACAAATTAAGAATCATCAACAATTGTAAAACCCCAAATATTTCTGTGTTATCAAAATAATATTATGAACGTGAAAATATCTAATTTCGTATTTGATACCATCTTGTCCGGATTGAAAATCAACCCTTAATATCCCTAAAGGGGTGAAATCATCCCCTAAACGCCTAAAAATGTTAAAAATATATTAAAAGTTACAATTTTTTTTCTTTTTCTTTTATACGTTAATAACCGACAATCATTAGTTCCAAAGAAAAATATCCCTAAATGAGGAAAAAACCACCCCTAAGTTCAACCATAATACGTATAAAGGAAAAAGAAAAAAAAATAACTTTTAATATATTTTTTGCATTTTTAGGCGTTTAGGGGAAGATTTCACCCCTTTAGGGATATTACGGGTTGATTTTCAATTCGGACAAGACCGTATCAAATACGAAATTAGATATTTTCACGTTCATATTATTTGGATAGCAACATAAAAATATTTGGGGTTTTACAATTGTTGATGATTCTTAATTTGTTCACTTTTTTGTCTTTTCAACCGTTAAATAAAGGTGATTTTCGAAAATTTTCGAAAAACTGAAAGTGATGCTCATTTTCATTTTTCATGACGAATATTTGGATATTTTTAGAATATTTTTAGAATTTTTCCTGTCGCCCCTGTCAAAGTCTCAAAAACAGGCGGAAAAATGGCTTTTTTGCGGTCACTCTTCGCTGTCTAGTTCTGCCAAAAAAACAAAAAATTGAAAATTTCCAATTGCGAATTTTGATTAAGATTTTCTTCCAAATAGTAAGGACCAATTATTTTATGATACGTTATGCCACGCCAGACATTTATTTTTTTGAACATTTTTAGCCCAGTATCTAGAATTTTGGGAGGGAACCACGCCATTAGTTGTGAATGTTGATTCGTCATTAAGTAAAATATCGTGATGAAAGAATATGTTTTCAATTTCTCGCCCATTGTTAAACAAAAGTCCAATCGACGACCATCATCTCCATCAAGCAATTTATAATTAAATACTGGATTGTCTTGTATAGAGTTTATAACTACAACAGTAACAACATCGTTATCATTGTATTCTTTTTTTATTTTTTCAATATTCTTTACATCAACAGTGGTATCAAATTTTATAATTAGCTTGCGATCTGCTCTACGAGTTACAAACACATTTGGATACTTTTCATCAAAATTTTTTATTGCATATCGATATGAAACATCACCGATCCCATAACACCATAAGGTAGATTCGTTGCTCCAGGGTTACCATTATTAATAAAAATTATTGTAGGCAGTTAATAAAAATAAATATGTTGACTTTGACATTAATAAGGAAATAGTTGAGGAAATATCCATAGTAATTACATGGTATGTAGGATAGTTAAAAATTGAGGCGTCTTTTTTGTTGCAAAATGTGAATATTCTTCTTTTTTACTAAATCCCACATATAAGCACTTCTTGAGTTCCCGAACAAATTTGTTAAATGCAGTTTTTAATGAAAACAAAAATTAAAGGCACTTTGCATAGGGAAAATTTCACATTTTGAAATATTTTGGAAGCCTGGTATGTTTTATTACAAATTTGATTACTGTCAATGACTTCCCAAGATAAGCAAAACTTTTTATCAAGAATAATTTTTTCTCAAAATATCAACAATAAAAAAGTTTACAAGATTGCNTACAGGGTGGTTCGATTTTTCTTTGAAATGTTATGAACACGTAGATTGTTAGAAGTGTTTTCCAAGTTATACAGGGTGTCCAGGAAATTGTGGGTAGTCTCAAATTTTGAAAAAATAACGTCGAAGTTTATATAATTTTTTTCCCTCTGTATGGATTTTTCGTGGGAACTTTTTTGGTTTCCCATTAAATTTGGGTAATGTTTGGGTAAAAGCTACTTAGGGGTTAACTTTTCCTATATATTTTCCAACAAATTTTTAACCTCTACTACAGATTGCAGTCACTTGTTTCGCCTTAACAAACCTATAGACCGATCAAAATAACTCATTTAGAGGGAAAAAAAGAAAATTGTTACCTGGACTTTTATAAGTGGAAATGGTAAAGGGGCTTATAATAAACGAAAAAAAAAATAAATAAATGCGTGAGCAGGGGCGGCGGAGGGTTGATTTGGGGGGTTGAAAAGTTATGAAAAATTTTATCATTGGGATTTCTGGCGAAAGTTGACGTCAAACAAAAAAGTATCCAATACAACTGTTGTAGATCATGCAAAAATCTACAACTTTTGTAGAGGTCATTTTTAACATAACCTCAAAATTTCCGAGAAAAATGCGAAAAACAGGTTTTTTTTTTGATTTTTCGTTTTTTATTTCTCATTTCCGCAAAAATAATTTAATTTTGACGAAACTTGGTGAAAGTATACCTTTCTCTGTCTTAAATAATCTCAATTTTTTTAGATAAAAAAATCAAGAAGTTTCCGAGATATTCATTTTTTTCGGCCTGAAACACTTTTTTTCAAAGAAAAATTCATTCTACTTAAAAAAATCATCGTACAGAGTTCTGCCGGTAATCATTTTTTTCGTTTTGACATATACTTTTTGGTGAAATAAAAAAATTTGTAATCACAGTTCAAAAACATGCTCAAAAATCCAAAAAAGAAAAAATGACTTGCAGCAATGAATTTTTCAATAATTGTTGATAATTTGTTTAAATTAAAAAAAAATCAAAAACTGATTACACCATTTACGGAAATTGTACGGAAAAATACAAAAAAACTGTCTTATTGTTTGACCCAAAACTATTTTTGTACTGTATTGCTATAAACATAAGTCGAATAGTGAACAAATAAAATAAATAATAATTTTTTTTCCGTAGGATCGATTAGTGTACTTATTTTTTTTAAAGTTTGAATTCATTCATAGATGTACAGTGTGTCCAAGATAAGAATGGGATAGTATTAGGATCTAGGAAACGGTAAGAGATACGGGGTGGCTCAGATTAGAAAAAAGTTGTGTTTTTTATACCTAAGAATATGCTGTTTAGAAAGTTTTAAAATTCCGGGTAGTTCCGGAGATATCCGGAAAAACCGGAAATTTTGCAAAATTATTTAATTTTTTCTGGCTTTATTTGAAAAGGAATTTTAAAATAAATTACATATTTACAATGTCACTTTTTTCGCTCTATACAATGGCGGCAACATTTTTGCAATCCGACATTTCGTCTTCGAGGGGCCATGATCGGATTAATTTTTTTAAATACGTCGCTGTTATTTGTATGACAAAATCTAGTCATTTTTAATTCGGAATTAGAGGATATTACTATTGTAATCGCTTAAAAAGTTTTTAGCTTGTTTTAGCTATAATTTAACATTTTTCTCGAATACCGCTCTGAACGCTTTCAAAATATCTATTGGATGAAGTCATAACAGCATAAAAGTCAATACCGCACAAAATATCCAACGATTTTTTACTATTTGTATTATTAACAATACTAATTAGAAATAATAAAATATTTCATAAATTCGTATTATTCTTTTATTAGGTACAACTTTTTAAATTATGGATTAAAAAAAATTGTTGGATATTTTGTGCTGTATTGACTTTTATTCTCTCTTTATTCTCTCTCATATATAATAGATACAGGTATTTTGAAAGCGTTCAGAGCCGTACTCAGGAAAAATTTTTAATGATAGCTAAAAATCTTTTTAAGCGATTACAATAGTAACATCATCTAATACAGAATTAAAAATTACTAGATTTTGTCATAAAAATAGCAGCGATATATTTAAAAAAATTAATCTGATGATGGCCCCTCGAAGACGAAACGTCGGATTGCAAAAATGTTGACGCCACTGGATAGAGCGAATAATGTGGCAATGTAAATATGCAATTTATTTAAAATTCGTTTTCAAATAAAGTCAGAAAAGATATAAAACGATTTTGCAAAATTTCGGGTTTTCGGATTTCGCGTCAACAGTAGACTTTGTAGTTAATACTTTGTTTTGTTGAAATCTCAAATCATCCAGAGATAATTTATCATTTGTGCATTTGTAATTCGACTTAGATGTTTATACGTAGCAATATTGTACAAAAATAAAGTTTTGGGTCAAAAAATGAGACAGTTCTTTCTAAAAAATTTTCCGTAGAATTGAATGGTGTAATCGGTTTTTGAATGTTTTTTAATTTAAACAATTTATCAACAATAACTGAAAAATTCATTGGATTCAAAAGGAAATGAGAAATAAAAAACGAAAAATCAGAAAAAAAATTGTTTTTCGCATTTTTCTCGGATAATTTGAGGTTATGTTAAAAAGTGACCTCTACAAAAGTTGTAGATTTTTGCATGATCTACAACTTTTGTATTGGATACTTTTTTGTTTGGCGTCAACTTTCGCCAGAAATCCCAATGATACAATTTTTCATAACTTTTTAACCCCCCAAAAAAAAAACCCTCCGCCGGCCCTGCTCACGCATTTATTTTTTTTAGGTTTATTATAAACCCTTTTACCATTTCCACTTATAAAAGTCTGGGTAAAAATTTTTTTTCTCCAAGTGTAATTTGTTTGGACTACTAGCCGAAATAGCTCGTTCATTTTTTCCTTTCCAGGCTGCCCACATGGCCGTCATCGAGATGATCATGCAGCTGTACGCCAGGGAGGTCGTGACCGCCGACAGGGCGTTGGCGGCCGTGCAGCGTTTCAGCCACGGCAGGAGTCCTTCGCCCCCGACCCCGGAAGGTCCGGAGCAGGGCGTGCTGCTGTGGGTGTCGCACGCCTGCGACGCGCTGCGGAAGAAGATAGAGCAGGAGACTGAGGGCAACGGCGCCGTCACCAACGGCGGAGAGGTAATTCATGAAAAAAAAAAATGTAGGGCGTCCTGGGTATCTACCACTGTTCCGTTTTGTGAACCAACGATGTTCTTGGGATTGTCCAGAGTCCCGCCCTTCCAGTATCTCCGAAAACGTTCTGCATAACAGTGCGATGCCTGTGCGGCGTTTTGCTTGCGTTCGCCGTAAATTAACAGCGTTATTTTGTAGTAACTCTCAATAATATTTCCACAGTTCGTTTCACCGCTAACACAACAGCGCTAAGCTTTGTTTTCAGTTTTGTGATTCTTTTTATACTTGCAAACGACTGTTCAGAGGGAAGCTGCACTTTCGACGACGCCCTGTAAACTTTCGCTTTCGCAGGGGGACAAGCTGAGGGCGCCCGACTTCCCCCCACTGAGAGAGCTAAAAGACTTGTGCGACGGGGTGGGCCTGGCCGCCCTAATCTCCTACTACTGCCCCGACGAGCTGCACTGGACGGAGATCCGGATCTCGAGCATGCCCTCCCTTCAGGACAGCCTTTACAACCTCAGGCTGGTGCAGGACTTCTGCCACAGGTGCCTGCCCTCGTCCATCTTCCATCTCATGCCGGAGGACGTCACTTACATGCGGGAGTGAGTACAGACTTTTTTTTATTTTTGTTCAATACAGGGTGATTCAGAACTTTTCCAAAAAAAATTGGGAATAGATGCGGCATGAGAAATGGAGTCAATATCGTAAAAAAAATTTTCGTAAAATCCTTATAGTTTCCGAGAAAAAAAAAATATTGAAGTTATAGTACATTCAACGACTACATAGCTGGACAACTGTAGTCTCTAGCGTCATTCGCAATGCGCGTGGAGAGCCACGTGGCCTCGGCGACTCTGAATACTGAAGTCGGATTTTGCAATCGTTGTTGCGGTAGTGTATTTACCTGTTATCTGTGGTGTTCACAATAGTTTTTTTAGTAGTTAGTGTCAAAAATGGTTTGCGTCTACAGCAACTCGAAGTTGATGGATATCGTTTTAATTTATGGTGAAGCATTTGTGTTATGGTGAAGCAAGACAACATTTGTGTTAGTTCGTAGAAACTGAGTAAGACGAACCCAAATGTGTTGACACGTTGATGGATAAAATATTTTTAACAATTGTTGTCGTAACATCGGGTACGTCAAATGATTTTATTATTTAAAAACACAAATTAATTGTATTAATTAATACAGGCAAAAGCAGTTGAATTTGCCGATAAAATTCTATTTATTTCTTTCCTTGCGAAAGTTTTTGTCCGTTTTTATCACATCGCCATGCCGGTCGCATTGTGCGAGGTCAGGTTTTACAGTGGACCAGTTTTCAGTGCCGTGCAGAAGTGTATTTTTAAATCAATTTCGAACTGCACTTTTTGATTTTTTCTTTACAAAATTGTATTTGTAAGGGTCCCTTGTACATCCAGAATTTTTTTTTTAGATAAGTTCTGAATCACCCTGTATAGGCGTAAGAATATACAATTTTACCTGGCGAAGGGCCACAGTCTGTTAAATTTGAAAAAAAACATCATATCGTCATAACATTTTTTGTAAGCAGAAATGTGAATTTAATCACTTTATTACTCATTACTCACGCCAATTTTATGGGGTTTCTAAGGAAATATGTGTCACTGTACTTGATTTTTTGATAATGTTTTTATCACCGATACAACAAGATTCACATTCAGTCGCAGCTAATCGTGAGGTTTGTAAGAATCTGTTAATTATGACTCTTATTTAAAAATTATTTGAGAAAATTTTTGAGTAAAGAAAAATGGTGAATAAATTTTTTTGAATGATACAAGACACGGAGTAGTCCCACCGCAAGTAAAGAAATAAACTAAAAAAATCACGCACCAGCAAAATGAGCACGAACCTGATTTGAACAACCTTTTTTTATACGCGGTAAGTTTCCTTATTAACGGCGTTGACACATTTTTGTGGAAATTTCTATTTTCAGCATATACAGTAGGATGGCCCAAAAAAAAACGATTTTTTTTTTCGTGTCTCGTGAAAATATGTTAGTTTATCATGTTTTAAGAGTCCCCTCAAAAAATCAGCTCAAAAACAATTTTTTGAGGTCGCACAAGATTTTTTAAAATTTTCCAAAATCGTCAAAAATTGAATTTTTTTTAAATTTTTTTTTTCTTTTTTTTCTTTTTTTCTGTTTTGAAAAATCTCGCTTTTGTGAATTTTTGATCTCTATTTTTTTTTTTCTAGGTGTCTTTTTTTTTTTTTTTCTTTTTAAGTGTTGTGTGTGTCCCCAATGTTTTTTCGCGCGCTCTCTAAATATATATTCTTATTTTTTTTTTTTACTGAATTCGATGAACAAAAGAATAGAAATAAATCACGAGACACTTAAAAAATTTCTCGAGGCAAAATTTACTACCGCACTGCGAGTACCTATCAAATAAGTATTTATAAATTTTTAATTTTTTAAAATTTAAGTGTCGTGATTTATTTCTATTCATTTGTTCATAAAATTCAATAAAAAAAAAATTAGTTTGTTGATATTCATTTTTAGAGGTCGCTCGAAAACATTTTAGGTACACTACTGCTTTGAAAGTTAAAATAACAATGAGTGACCTTTAGAAATTAAAATATCGATTTGAAATTTTCAGAATCGCGATTTTTTTCAACCTAGAAAATGATAAAAAAATCGTTTTTTTTTGGGCCGCCCTAATATACAGGGTGGAAAAACATAACAGACAGATACAGAAACTGATAGACATAACATATAGACAGGCAAACAGGATGATTTAGAAGTTTTCCAAAAAAAAATTAATGTACAGACATTACATCTTACAAATACAATTTTTATAAAAAAATCAAAAAGGTCAGTTTAAAAATGATTTAAAACTACACTTTTGCACGGTACTGGAAACTGGTCCACTGTAAATCCTGATCTTGGCGCAAGGCAAAGCATGCAGTCGGCGACTGGCACGGCGGCAAAATGTAATAAAAAAATAAAGGGACAGAAATTTAAAGAATTTCTTTCCCAAGAAATGAAATAGATACAATTTTGTAACACCTATATTATATTAGCAAATTCAGGTCTTGACGCTTTTGTTACTATTAATTAATAACATTAATATGTGGTTTTAATTAATAAAATCATCTGACATACCTGATGTTACAACAACTGTTCAAATTTTTGCCCACCGTGCCACCGACACGTCGCGACTTGTAAATACATTTGAATCCGTCTTACCCAGCTTCTATGAATTAAACGCAAATGTTGTCTTGCTTCACCTTAATACAAATGCTTCACCATAATAAAAATGTGGTCTTGCTTCACCATAAACATAAATTTAAAAGATATCCATCAATTCCGAGTTATACACGCAAGCCATTTTTGACACTAACTACTAAAAAACTATTGTAAATACAATCGCAACGACGATTGTAAAATCGGATTTCAGTATTCTGAATCGCCTAGGGCCACGTGGAGAGAGAGCGCATTACGCACAGCGTATGACGCTAAAGACTGCAGTAGCCCAGCGATGTAAGGGTTAAAAATCCTACAACTTCAATAATTCTTTTCTTTTCTCGGGAACTATAAGGATTTTACAATTTTTTTTTATGGTATTGACTCAATTTTTCATGACGCATCTATTCCCAGAGTTTTTTTAATAAGTTGTGAATTACTGTATAAACAAGCAGCTAAGTAGATATTCATACAGATATACAGACAGCGAGGGAGACTGGCAACCAGACAAACACAGAGACATGCAGACACGGAAACAAAACAGATAGTCCAATCGAATTAGATTTTTACGTGCCAATTTAGTTCATTAAACAAAGACACGTAAAAATTATGAAAAATTCCGTAGAATTGAATGAACCACTTTACTTCAGCTGAATATTAAAGCTTAATTTTCAAAATGGCGTCCAAAATTCCCAAAAAACAGTTTTTTTTTTTCATTTAAAAATAAACTAAATATTTTAGAAAAAAATGTTTAGACAAAAGTTGTAGAACTGTTTATAACAAAAATTTTGAGCCTAGCCCGATGTCAATTGATAAACAAATGTATTAGTTAAGTATTGCAAAGAAACGGCTAAAATTCGCATTTTTTAAAAAAACTTCTATATCTTCAAAACGAAAAAAGATTTTTCTACGAAACTTTCAGAATATGTAGTCCTTGGCAAGTAGAATAAGTGTATTTGTGTAAAATTGCAAAATATTTGATAGTTTTTGCAAACATTGAGTTTTTCGAAAAAAAGACGTTTTTTTTTTCAAGCTTCAATAAACCGTGCAGTAATGCACATTTTCCTCTGAAAAATTGTGCGCGTATTGCAAAATAATTGGAAATATGCAAAAAATGTATCAAAACATTGACTTCTTTTTTCTGGTCGATACATAATTATAGATATTTTTCTTCGTTGAAATTTAATCGGAATGGCTTCATTGCCATTTGAAAGCTAACATTTTTTCAAGAATTTGAAAAAAAATTACCTACCATTGCGGAGTATTTTTTAGATTGAAGTAAAAGTATTCAACTACAATATGTGTAAGTTTCAGACCTTAATATAATAAATGAAGTCGCAGAAAGAAAATTCTCGGCCTCTGTTGGTCGTAAGACATTTTTGAGATTGAAATTAAGTTAATTTTGTTGCGAAAGGTATGACGTAATTTGACTTGGGTACTGGTTTTTGCTTTATTATGAAGGTATTAAGATAATTCAAATAAAGCAAAAACAAATTTTCGTAAAAAATCTTATCAAATGAAGAATTGTTCTTCGATTCCAGAAATCTGACTTCATTTGATAAGATTTGTTAAGGATTTTTTTTTAATTATAATGAAAAAATACAAGAGCCAATAATAAATTAAAAAATAATATTACTTTTTGTGACGCCGCGTTTACCGAGATCGTTAATTTTCCGGGAACGGCAAAATATTGCAACGAAATAAACTACTTGCACTTAGTAGAGATATTTGGAATAATAATATTCCGTTGCATATCTGGCCTCGGGTCGAATTGGAGGCATGTAATTCGAGGAGTCACAATAATCACTTTTATCACTAATATCGGTGTAAACAACGTTTGTTTCCTATTCCCTTATCTGCAGATAATTGCGATAGGAAATACCATCAACCGCCAGTCAGTCACCGCTATCTTTTTGCAGTTTCATGAAGCAGAACCTCGTGGTGTTCCTCGCCGACCTGTTCAACGTGATGGAGATCAACCCCGCGAAGTGCGTCAGGAATCCAGGGACGGAGAGGTTCGGTTCCGGTGAGTTTCTTCCTTTTTTATTTTATTTTTCTCGGTGTGTTTGGATTTACCGCAAGACGTTTTTTTTTAAGCTTCTGAATTTTTATTTTTATCCCCGCTTTGTCTGTTATTTTGTTGCGCGGGCCCTGTGCCGCGACTTTACGGAAATATCGCCGTTATAGGTGCGTTTTTTTTTTCTGTCTGACTTTGCCGGCTCCAGCTAGATTATGATTATAAATAGGTGTATGTTGTAAAAGTAGTTCAAATTGCTGATAACGATATGAATATTTCTGTATGTTTTCATGTCGGTGTTTTTGTTTTGAGGCGATTGTGAATCGATTACAGATTCGGTAACGGAATAGAAGTAACTATTTAAGTTTTAGTTTCGATGCAACAACGATCGAGGTCGAATAAATCAGGATCAAAATCGAGATTTTGTGTTTTTGAATCAGGTCTGGACATAATTTTACAAATTTGTGTTTTATACAGGGTGTCCAAGATAAAGATGGGATAACGTTAGGATTAGATTTTTTATACCTAACAATATGCCGTTTAAAAAGTTTTGAAATTCCGGGTAATTTCGGAGATATCCGGAAAAATCCGTAATTTTGCAAAATCGTTTTATTTTTTTTGGGGCTTTATTTGAAGCTCCTTATGCGTGATAGCGGCAACACCGCGGTCTCGACGTAGCGTATTATTTGAAATTCGCAGGTGTCCAAACAGAATGATCGAACGGGAGCGAGCAAACGCCGAGCCGAGCGCACCAGCCAAGTGCAACGTTGCCAAATCTACAAAGGCATTCTACTTTAGTCACTAGCGAATCTACAGAAACTTTCCTTAGACTTTAGACGGACCTCCGTACCCGATAAACCCCCTTAAGCGATTATATTTGTAACATCATCTAATTCAGAATTAAAACTGACTTTAGATTTTGTCATATAAATAGCAGCGACGTATTTAAAAAAATTAACCCGATGATGACCCCTCAAAGACGAAACGTCGGATTGCAAAAATGTTGACGCCATTGGATAAAGCAAATAAAGTGGCTATGTAAATATGCAATTTATTTTAAAATTCGTTTTCAAATAAAGCCAGATGAAAAATAAATCGATTTTGCAAAATTTCGGGTTTTTCCGGATATCTCCGGAACTACCCGGAATTTTAAAACTTTCTAAACGATATATTGTTAAATATAAAAAACACACCTTTTTTCTAATTTGAGCCTCCTTGTATCTCTTACCGTTTCCTAGATCCTAATGCTATCCCATCCTCATCTTGGACACACTGTATATTGAATGTTTGAATAATAGTGACATAAATTTAAGGGCTGATTGAACATTAAAGAAGAAGACCCGTTTTTCCTAATATTGATTTTTGAGGTAGAAGACAAACACCATATTTTAAATTCAAATTTCGGATATATACAGGATGGTCATCATTGGCATCTGGGAAACCGTAAGATATACAGAGTGTCTCAAATAAAGTTGCGTCTTTTCAGTCATTGAGGGATATCTGCTGCCGTTCCTGAAATATAGTGAAAAAAATTGAAAATAACAATTTTAGAAAATGTCGCTCATAAGAAAAAAAAAACAGTTGGATGTTTTATAACTGAAACTAGCGGCCGTAGAAATTTTCTTTCTATGAAAATGGATCCCTCGTGTCTTCTTATCCTCCAGTACCAAATTTCAGCTCCTTCTGTTGTGAAATAAGGACGCTAGATGGCATTTTCTGAAATCGCTATTTTTAGTTTTTTCACAATATTACACGAACGGCAGCAGATATCTTTGATTTGTTTGGTTTATTTTAGTTACTAAAAAGTAGCAACTTTTTTGTAATTTGAGCCACCCTGTATATCTTACGATTTTTCAGTCAATGATGAACCATGAAAAACGCACCATCGTATATATGTTTTTCAAAAAATACGTTTCATTTCAGTATTTGGTACAGATAAATTTTGAGTGATGTCAAAAAGTTAGTTTTCGACTATCTTGTAGCGGTCACTAAGTACGATTTTTTAAGACATTTTTTAGGTTAAGTTTTTGTATTGTTGACGTGAAATTTCATTTTACAATAATAAATATTTTGCAATGCTATTGACTGTGCCAAACGATGAATTTCTTGGAAACTAGTTCTGTTAATATGAATTTTAACATGTAATAAATACAAAAATGAATAAAATCTGTCACGATGCTAAAAAATAACCTAAAAAATTTGTCTTAAAATGTACTGAGTAAAGTCGCGGCTACCTACCTCTACAACATAGTCGAACAACATTGACGTTTTTTTCAACTTTTATCAATTTCCAACGCTGTGTATATTGAATTAAAAAAAAAAAACATCTGATGTCCCAAATCTCAAAAATAATATAAGAAGAATCTCAAAAGCAATATAACAAAAAATAATGTTCTATCAGTTCCAGTGTACTTTTGTTTCTCTTTGTACTCTGTTTTGTATATACCTAATTTCATTTTATAAAAATGTAACATTATATGTAAGTACAGCTTTATTTTTATTATTTTGAGATGTTTTTACAATTTTATTAAACGTCTTTATCAAGATATCGTGGAAATTTACTGTTAATTCTCAATTTTTTTTAAAACCAATGTTAATGGAAACATTGAGAGAAAATTCAAAGCAACAGTTGCAACATTTCTATCTAAAACTTACTTGGCCAAGCTTAAAAGACGGATTCTATGCACATACACTTCTTGGGTTCTACGGTATGCATTGTTGTTCAGTCTTTTGCATTCTGATCATGCAAACAAGGATCAAGCACGTGGCTACGAAACTATTGGTCGATAGAATCGGATCGAACGACGCAGCCTCCGCGAAAGACGAACTAGAATTAAACCATATATCTTCATTAATTTTAAACACTCTGTATCCCGTCCAAAACGAAAGCTCGGATTTATGAACTTTGTTTTATTAACCTGTGGAGCAGAATTCGCCGTTAAAGTTTGGCCAAGCATCCCAGCTACGTCCCGTATAAGAGCCTTTTTGGAATAACGCGAATGCCAAAACCATAACCGCCGTTGCCATTCTGGGAATGCCGCGCTTCGAGCCGCCCCGCGCGCCGTTTCCAAAAATATTTACACTACCTTGATCTCTCGATGTTCTCAAGAAAGATCCCAGTGACACCAAACCGAAATGTATTTTTACTTGCGCTCTCCCCAAGCGTCGTCGTCGTCCCGTGCGAAATTCAAGTGAAAATATTTTAATATTCACAACAATTCGGGGCGAAGTAAAAATTATCGATCCGAAACAACCTCAGCTGACCTCTATGTAATTTCTTAGCCTGGTCAATATCGGATTCCTTCCGATTTGCATAAGTGTGCCGCGTTTTGTACGTACGGGGAACCTTACGGCGTCCGGTAGGTTTTTTCGCGCTTACCGCGTCTTCGGATCGCGCCCCCTCGCTTTGTTTCCCCCCCATTTTCCGTTCTGTTTAGTTGACTTGGCTTGTTAATATTTTCTTTTGCTTGTTGGTGAGTGGCAACACGACACAATGTGGTGGTGGTTTTATTTTGGTAAGGACACACTTAGATTTTAGCATGTTCTGTCCCGACCTAGAAAACAACACCCCCAAGTTTGTGACAAGTCAGTTATTGTGAGAAGCAACAACCAAGAAGTTGGCGTCGTTTCGCGGTTTGTCGAAATGGGAAATTGGAATTTATGTATTTTTCGTTTGTGGGAGGTGCTAGTGTGTGTCAGTTATTGTTCTTGCTGCAGGGTGTTCGTACGCCAGGAAGTGCGCAAACTTTAAGGGTAGAAGTAAGGGAGAAGCTTTAGATGTTGCAAAAATGAGTGCGAAATATTTAGACGGTAATAGAATATACAAAATCAGACGATTTTTTTGTACTCATTTGTTTTTGAGGTACAATGATTTGCTAAAATTAAATTTAACTCATATCTTTTCTAAAAAAAACAGGGTATTGCATTGAAATTTGGTACGGGTATAAGTTTTCATGATCGTGAAAATCGCAATTTTTAGCGAACTTACCCAAAAAGTCCTTTTTAAAGACCTTTATTTTTTTAAACTAAATGTGAAATAAACAAAATATACATTTTACAATGACGACAATAATAATATTACTCACATTTCTATGTTAAACGAATAATCTTTCCCGCCGCGAATATTTTCCAAGACTTCATATTCCGCGGCTGTGAAAACTTACCCTTAATACGTCAATGTTATTAGTGTTTGACCATCTATTAGAGGGCGCTAGATACTACATCTTTTAACGACTTTTTATGTCAACTTTTTTGAGGTTATGTCAATATATCTTGTTAAAATCGCTGAAATCTTGTAAAAAACCTCTATTGACCGTTCTAAAGTCAACCAGCTTCTGTCGTCAATATACAGAGTGTCTACAATCGAATGGGCTATACTTCAATCTTCTTTTGATGAAAATAATCCAATTTGGATCAATTTACCTTAGCACAATTTTGGTTCCTTGGAAAGTTAGAGATCTTAAAAGAAATGAAACAATTTTTTAAAGCCTATAACTTTTTAAAGAAGCAAAATTGTACCAAGGCAACTTGATCTAATTCTAACTTATTTCTCATCGAATCATTTATCTCATCGGTTCTATGATTTGAACAAGAGCACCTTTTTTGTGTATAATAAATTTTTACTCTCATACAAACATACATTGTAAAAAGTTAACCTCAAAAAGTTATGTCATAAAATGTCAGTGAGAGAGATAGTAACTAACAACACAGATGTATTTATGACCCTCAAAAACCTATTTGTACCAAATTTCAATGGAATACATTGCTTTTTGGAAAGGATATGGTTAAAATTCGTTTCTGAAAATTTTTGACGTCCTGTATGTCAAAAACAAGGGACGATAGGCTCGTGGTTTTATTTTTTGGTGTTCTATTACCCTCAAAATTTTTTGCACTTATTTCTGTAACACCTTGTATAAAGTCTTCGGTCTGGAAATGTATCGTTTCAAATAAAAAAAAGAACATAATTGCATTTCAATTTCAAGAGCAGTAGATATGGGGAATCAATCTTTTTCAAAGTGTAACCGAGTCTATGACTTTCCCTGAAATATATTTTTATATTTTGTTAAAACGATACACCTTTTTAAACAAAAGAAATATATATTTTCTTTGATAATAGTATTTTTTTTTTACCATAGAAATAGATAATAATTTTTTAAACGAATTTTAGACAATACAAAAGAATAACTAAATTCATAATATATAAAAAAAATATAAGTAAACATAGTTTAACATTGTGGTAGGGCGAATAAATTAAAATAAGTTAATATAAAGATGACATTCGCTCACAAATTTTTACTTTTACGTGGTGTATTATCCTATAACACCCGTGATACCTCCACCTTTTAATGTCCTACTAGTCTGTCATTTGATGGTTTTTTGAGGTAAATGTTGGTATCGCTGGATCAAATTTTGTGATTACTGTCAATACGAGTTCTTGATACATTAAAAAAAAGTTTCTTTTGCCAAATTTGGAAGTCTATATCTAAATTTTGTTTTTCCTGACCAAGGTTCATAAAGACTTTCTGACTCATTTTTTACCCAAGAAATGTTTCCTTGTGAATTTCTTCGCGGGACATCCTGTATATGCTGTTATACGCAGTGTGTCCACGGGATGGAGGTGGAGTTGAGAAAATATTTATTTTTCATTTCATTCTGCTTCTGTTCAGAGGTAGAAAAATGTAGTTTTAAATGGGCCAACATATACAGGGTGTCACCTATTATAAAAAAAATTATTAGAAATATATTTGTTGATTTTTTATTTTATTCTTAAGACTGTAATACTTTATCCCAGTTAAGAAACAGAAATAGCCAAACTTTTTCCCAACATTTAAACATTTTGAACAATTTTTATTTTAATCTTTATTAATTTATTCTGTTTGACCTTTGTTTTTTTTTTAACCATTTGGGCGATGAGGGCACTTGAATGACAATATTTTTCACAGGAATTTGACGTTTTGAGGAACAATACTTCCTGCTCAATGAATAATCTAACACATTTTTATTTCTGAAACATTAAATAGGCCTTGTTAGGAACAAAAAATTTAATATTTGTTGGTTTTACAGTTCAGTGATTTGTCAAGTAAAAAATATCTATTTCAATATTATCTTTAAAGTTAAACAAACATAAATCTTCATTGTGAATAATGTTTCTCATTAAAATTGCAGTCCAATATTATTGTATTGGCATTCAAAGCTCGCATAATCTCTTAAATATGTAACCTGCCACTTTTACCTATGTGGACCTCAGGATACGGAGTTCGTTTGGAATTTAATAACGAATTATTTTCTGTTTAAATATAACTTCAACTTCACAGTACTGCCTTCAAATACGGAATAACCATAGACCTCCTTCGCTTCGTCACCGTTGACCCGCACTATCTCCCTTCACATGCATTGTAGGTTGCCTACAATTCATGTATTTGTAAATACATTATTACATGTATGTACTATTACCCCTTAAAAAACTGACCCCCACTCAAAGTTACACCCCGTATATGAAAAAATTGTAATGAGAAAAGTTATTCACAATTTTATGAAAAAGGAACGGATGCCAAATTTTTAAGTGGTTAAATCTACTATATTTCTAATAATATCTTTGTTCCGGACCCCCTGTATATGTTGACCCACTTAAAACTACATTTTTCTACATTTGAATAAAAGCAGAATTTTTTTAACAAAAAAAATGAAAACTAAAAAGAAAGCTATAATACAAGAAATAATTCTGATCTTCTTTTGATCTCCTTTTTTTAGTTCAAAATTTGAAGCATTAAAATAGCATCCATAGCCTCTCTACACTGAGAAAACAGTTTTTATATCTTATATAAGAACTACCCCAAACACTTTACTTTCGTTGCTTGCTAACTGAACTTAATAATTTTTCCCCATTACTCCAACATCTTATGTAGTCAATAGAACATTAACCGCCTCGATATCAAAAGAAAGGGGACAATATCTGACCGAAACACAACCCGCTCCCCGGTACACTTATTGTTGCTGCACAATACCCACCCCAAGAGTAGTTCTTAAGTAGCAGTAGGCCTAAAAAAAAATAATAAACAAATGAGTTAACAAAACTTGCTTTGACCTGGTGGCGCCTCAGATGGCATGCCCCCGAGTAACGCGCACGGGGTGACGCACAAGCGCAACCTGCTCCAGACCGTGATGGCTCCCATCCCGGATCTGCGAAGCGGCCTCGACGACCCCACGAACCCTACCGCTTTCCAAGGTAATCTCTCTTGCTCTCTCTCTCTCTGTGTGTCACACATTCTTAATATTCAGATCATGTAGTAGATAGTAGCGAGTCATTGATTAACACTGGTGTCACACTATTCATGGAGAATGTGTAGGGTCGATGTTGTACAGGGGCTGAATCGGAGGGGACGAGCTTTCTCTCGGTGTAGACAAGTTTCTTTTAATTTTGCATGATGCAGCGCAGAAACAATTAAATTCGATGAGGACGTTGACGTTTCTCTATTTTTTTTAATAATTAATGAAAAATTGAGAAATAGTGCCTCTTAACTTTCGAAATGGTAATTTTTTTAACTTCATAAAAGATATTTCTGAACGTAATAATAATTTCTATACCCATTATTCTTTTTCGGCATAAAAAACAAAGTTAAGATTTCGAAAAATAAATAATAAAAAATAACGTGTAAACGTTGTTTAAATGCGAATATTTTAAAAATTAATTCGCAACATATTTCGTCTTATTTCGGTTTTGTATTATTTCTAAGATTTATAAAAAAAAAAACAAGCCAATTCTTTTCACTAGATCTTTCATTACCGTCTTTGTGTTCTGAGAAGAAATCTGTCGGTTAATTGGAGTTACACGGTCGCTTACAATTAATTAAACTAAAATATTTATGTAAACGAATCTTAATTCGTAGCGGACACGGGTTAATTTATTTATGGTCGTGGTTAAAGTTCAATAATCCCCAGCTATTTCTAGTTCCCTGTACAACATTAAGACTGTGAATGGAGTAAAACTTGCTTGTTTCTTTTGATTTGTGCCCCCTGCATGAGTGCTTTCTCTTTACTAAAAAAAATGCCTCGTGTTTTTAATTTTTTTTTCCCGTCGCTTCTTAGCTTACTAACATGATCACCTGGTGGCGCTGCTTCTTTGAATAAGAAATTGGATTTTTTTCTTATTTCTTTTTAAGTAGACTCATTTGCAACGGTTTCTTTGCTACTGTAACAAATAAAAACGAGTTTATAAAGCTCAATTTAATAATTGGGGATGTTAGCAAAAGTTACTTACCTCCAAGAGATTTATTTAATTTTAAATTTATACACAGTCCGATTTCTAAGTTGACTCATATTTTTTGTAGCTTATAAAATTCGTGTGACTTACTGAATAGTCTGTGCACACACATAATAGGGTTACAGATTTTTCAATAATCATATCAGTGGCAGCATGTTGGCATAACTAAGTTTTTAATCCAACCGCATAAAAAGAAATCACAAGGGTTAAGCTATGGTCGTCTGGCCGGTCATGCAATTGGCCACTAAGTCTAAGTACTCTCTCACTTCACGTTTAACATGAGTTAACGCCCCATTTTGTAACAATATGTTCTTCCTTACGATCAGAGGTAACTCTTCCAGAAGATCCCGAAGATGATTTTGCAAAAATCTGAGATAACTTTTGCCCGTCATATGTTTGGGTATGAGGCCCAAGAATATCATTAACAGTAGCTATTTACACATTTACAGAAAATCTGTCATGAAAATTTGTGTTTATAAGCACGAGGATTATCAAGCATCATATCTCTGATAAATGTAGTCTCGTTCATAACCAAAATATTTCTGATGAAGGTTTCATTTATTCCTTGCTGCTGTAAGAGCCATTTGCAGAACTCAAATCTGGGGTATCTGAAGTATCCAAACTTTTTTTTTACAACTTTGCAACTCTACCGCTGCCTTATTTTGAAGCTATTAAAAAAACAGAATTTCAAAAAAGCCTTATTTTGAGTAAATCTACATGCTGTTAAATAATATACCTCAACTTAGGAATCATCCTTTATATATTTTTAAAATGCAACAGTTCCTGATTTCAACTATTTTAATAACTTCATATTTTTTTTATCCCTCTATTTAAACGAGATTGCTAATACAATTTTTTGAAAATTGCCCCTCCCCTTCTCTAAAAGAAAAAAAATCGTAGTCGACGTAGGACTGGCAGTTTCAGGAGGTTTTAGTTTCCAAATATGTGCATATTTAGGGACAAAAATTATTTGTTCTTCATTTGTTTTTTAATTCCTACGTTAATGGTACGTAATCTATAAATTAGGACATCCTGTATTATTTAAAATACTTACCAAATGCAAACACAGTAAGTAATAATTTTAGAATCTACAGGGTGTCCCAAAATTCATGCAACAAAATTTGGTCATAGATTCTTAAGACAAATTTAGGAGACCTGTATTTTTTTTTTGCCAACTGGCCCTCTCTTTCGAAGTTATAGCCCCCTAAAATCCGCCCCTAAGAATAATCTTTTCTTTATATCTCAGAACTCTGTTGTACGAGAATCACTAAATTTGGTACACAGGGGTTTTATGACGTGGAATCTCACAGTGCTACGCTTTTTGGCGGGAACCCTCTTAGGACACATTTTCGTGGGGCTCTTGTCTTTGGAACCAAAAAAATTTGGTCGCAAATTTGAATTTCTTAAAAATTATTAATTAGCTAGAAAGCAATTGAATTTAGAAACTTTTTTGTCTCTTGATATTTGTTTCGTAAAACGCAATGTTTTTAAGGAAAATGGCGAATCACGATATGCATTTGATCACATTTTGACATTTTTCTCGAAAAAATTGGGTTTTATGAAAAAAGTATAAAGAAACAAAAAGTTTCTAAATTTAATGGCTTCCTAGTGGATAGATAATTTTTAAGAAATTTAAATATTGCACCAAATTTTTTTTGGCTCTAAAGACATGGGGGCCCACGAAAAATTGTCTTAAGGAGGTTCCCTGCCAAAAATGTATCACCATCAGATTCCACACGTCATAAAACCCCTGTGTACCAAATTTAGTGATTCTCGTACAACATGGTTCTGAGATATAAAAAAAAGATTATTCTTAGCGGCGGACTTCAGGGGGCTGTAACTCCGAAAGGGGGGGTCACTTGGCAAAAATAAAAAATACGGGTCCCCTAAATTTATCTTAGGAATCTGTGAGCAAATTTTGTTGCATGAATTTCGGGACACCCTGTATAGAGATGTGAGAAGTAATGGCCAATCTACTTTTATTTTGAAACCAGATGTGCATTGTAGGTGTTTTTTTTTTAATAGTGAATGTTGTGCTTTAGAGATTTGGGTGCAATTATCCTTTGCTCTGCACAGATTTGTGTTATGAAGTCTGAATTATCGCGATAACTTAAACCATAAAAGCTGTATGACACCGTCGAAGTAAAGTATAACTGTGTTCAAAAAAATGCTTCCGAAATGTGTGGGATTTTATTTTGTTTTTAAGTGATGTTCGTCATGCATCTGTCATTAAATCGCACAAATTCATCCTCAGCTAGGGCGGTTGTCGTTCATTTGAAAGCATATGAAGGCACATACCAATGATACAACAAAATATTTAGTGTACTGAACATTTTTTTTAAGCTTAACATTTAACGGAACTACTCCTAGACATGAAACTGTGTGCCTTCGTATGATTTCTACGTACCGATCGGTCAAACACTACGTTTTATATTTCTTCCCAACTGTAGTTCCGAGGTCTACACCAACCCACGTACCACTCCGGAAAACAAACTCTCTCCAACAGAGCATGTCGGAGATGAGCGAAGATAGCTTACGCAGGGGATCCGAGGACTCTTTCGTGGTCCACCGCGGAAAAAACATACCTACACTCAGGTCGGTCGTGGAACCGCTCATACCTGCCCGTTTGAAGGTCAGCAAAGAGAAACAGAACAACGACAGCAAGGCAGACGAGAGGGGGGAGATAGCGGCGGGCAGGCCCAGCAACTGGGAGGATCAGAGGAAGCCCAGTTTTGCGGGCAGGCGGAGCAGGAGGAATTCCATGTCGGACGATTCCCAGCTGACGATCGAGAACTTCGGCGGCAGTCAGGACAATCTGAATTTTATTGGGAGGAACCCGGATAAGGAGGTAAGGTTTTAATGTAATAAAATATGTTTTTGCATATTCACATCCATCCACAGTTTGGGCCATGATTTTCAGGGCGAGGAACAACACTACCAGTATCAAAAAGGTGTTGAGATACTCCGAATTAGGCAAATGCAACTTGTTTTTTTTAATTTAATTCTTTTAATGTCTTCTACATAGATTTTACGGTGTGTAACATTGCAGGTCGCGGTACACATAGGCAGGAAGATCTCGGCCCCCTCCTTCCCCACCCCCATAGAGAACGCCCCGGTCCGTTCCACCTTGCAAGACGCCAGGGGCTCCTTCCAACTGGGATACGACAACGGCTGTGAGAAACAAGACGACGGCTCGGAAAAACTGAAGCTGAAACGCCAGCTGAGCAGCGACGACATCTCCTTGAGGAACCTAGGCTCGAATATGAACAAGGAGAACATCATCAAGGACCTGGTGGACGGGGAGGTGACCAAGAGGATGAGCTTCGCCGATCTGGGCAAGCAGAAGGTCGTGGGGGAGAGCAGGGGCATCCAGCTGGTGTACATGAACGACAAAGAGGAATACCCGTCGAAGAGTAGCTTCCTGAGCAAGTTGGGCAGCACCAACGGCAGCTCGGAGAAGAAGACTACGTTCGCCGCCCTGCCCAACACCACGACGTGGCAGCAGCAGAGCAGCAATCAGCAGCACGTCGAGAATAACGGTGACGCCAGCAGTCCGGGCGGGAACGTCATGAACGTGCAACTCAGCGACATCAGGATGAAGCTGGAGGAGAAACGCCGGCATATAGAGAGCGAGAAGCGGCGGATGGAGATGGCGATGAACAAGCAGAGGCAGAAGGTGGGGCAGGCGGCTTTCCTCCAGGCCGTGGCTAAGGTGAGCGGCACTATTCGTTTCGGTGTTCTTTGTACAAAGTCATCCCACATCGGTGTATCATGCATCCGTGGCTTTTAATGTGTGTTGATTTCATTTGTTTTTACCTCCCATTTCATTTCCGTTCAACTTTTGTAATAACTGGATGTTCCTTTTAGCTAACTGAATTGGTAAGGGTGTCGCTGTAGCTTTGACAGTTTTATGAGGATCGTTACGTTTCTATTTTGCCTGGTTTCATTACATAGGTACTAGCGTTTCATTTGTTATGTTCCCTTCGGACTGTTTTTTCTATGTGCATGTTTGTTTTTGCAGTGTCTCGGTAATTTAGGCAACATTCGATCGTGTTTTACATAGCGTAGTGTAACTTATAAGTTGGTTTTTATGAAAAAAAATTTGGGGATATTGGAATATTTTATCCTCGTGACGAACTGCGTGTATACTTTTGCCAAATGTGCACTTTTATTTCACATAAAATACGCCTTTAACTAATCTACCGTTTCTCCATTCTTTTCAACGTCGTATTTTACTTGAATACAACATAATCGACTGAAAAAATTAATTGAATACACTTAAAGGCACTTAAAAGGAAAACACCGTCCGTGAAAATAACAAATCGACACAATTACGTCAACGTTGTGTTGCTTCTACGTCCGAGCAGCAATCATCGAAAGTATAAAGATTAACCGCAAAAAAACCCATTTTTTCGCCCGTTTTTGCGTAGTGTGTAGCAAGAACGGTGAAGGTCGTCCAGAGGTCTCCGTGGGCTTAAATTGATCGTCATGAAAAATCTAGGTGAGCATAATTCGATTTTTCCAATATTTGTCTGACTTACCCCTACTTAAGGGGTGGAAACCACCTCTAAAACAAGAAACGTGAGAAAATGGTCGATCAGTTCTTGGTAAAAAATTGGCGGGAGTTTGAATGGCAAGGAATAGATCAGGGAATTTCTTCCAAATATGCTCAAGGTGAAAAACATCCCCCGCGTGGGGGTAAAACCACCCCTATTGCCGAAAACCGGCGGCAAATGATGTTCCCTCCATGAATTGCCTTTTTTGTGCCACACTTCCTTATAAATCCAAATGATATGAAATACATGCCCCCATAATTGTTCTTCTGTTGGATTCTGATCAGTTACCCCTACAGAAGGGGTGGAAACCACCCCTAAAACAAGAAAACAAAAAAAATGGTCACCAAAATCTGGGTAAAAATTGACGGAATTCCACATGGCAAGGGTAACATCAAGAATGCCCTCCTAAAAATGCTCAAGGTGAAAAACACTCCCTGCGTGGGGGTAAAACCACCCCTATTGCCGATAGCAGACGGGGAATGATATCCACTTCATGAATCTTTTGTTTTATCCCCACGTGGGGGGTGGGTTTATCATGAGCATTTTTAGGACATTCCTGATTTTACCCTTGCCATGTGAAATTCCCCCAATTTTACCAAGAATTTATCGACTATTTTCTCATTTTTCTTGTTTTAGGGGTGGTTTCCACCCCTTAAGTAGGGGTAAGGCGGGCAAATATTGGAAAAATCGAATTATGCTCACATAGATTTTTCATGACGATCAATTTATGCCCACGGAGACCTCTGTACAACCTTCCCTGTTCTTGCTACACACTACGCAAAAACGGGCAGATTTTGCGATCACTCTTTCAATCTTTGCAAAAATTCAGAAGTAATTAAACTGTTTGTTTTAATGGAAACATGTATCGTTTTATTGTATGCTGCACGAAACAGTAAATTAAAAAAAAAAAAACGTAAAATCAGTTTATTGCATTTCATAATGAAGACAATGTAAATTGTAAAAATAACAGAAATTCTAACTTAATCGGAAATTTTTGAACTTAGATATGACATTGTCTTGCATTTCATCGATTCGACTCAAGAGTTTTTAAACAGATTTTTAGTTTACGTCATTATCAGAAAGGAAAATATAAATAATTTTAATGTAAATTGAGAACAGAGGCGGTGACTAGTCAGATAAAGGGGGGAAACCACATTAGGAGGCTGATTTTCAGGCGTTTCTCATGAATTTTTCTGAGTGGGACAAATTGATTAGAATTTGACCAAACTTTGACAATATTTTATCAATACATATTATTTTGAACTACATTTACAAATTTTTCCGTCATTTGTGTTAAAATTCAAGTTTTGACGTGTTTGAAACAAAATGTATCGATTTTTCACCATTTTTTTTCACTTATTTTAAATAAAAAAAAAACTTAAAATTATGATATCCCAATTGTTGGTTCATGTTCTTTGTAATTTCATAAAGAAATACCCTTTCAATTTTCATAACAATCGGCTCATAACTTTTTGAGGTACAGTTCCCGAGAACCAAAAACATGCCGTTCCGAGAAAAACACGTTTGAAAATTTCTGAAAACTAGAAATTTGAAAAAGTTATCAATAATTTGGAGTGCCTGACAATCAATCAGCGATTCTAGCACCATATAACAGTCCTTCGTCTTCCTCATAAATATCATTCTGAGCTTGCATCTGTTCTTTTCTTGCTTAAGAGGGCTCTATAGCAAATACGCAACCAGCAATACATTTTTATAGATTTTCTTACACAGTTTGTCTAAATATGAATCAATGCACAAATAACAGACTTTCCTCCATTCTAACGCTGATTTTCTATAAAATGGACTTAGTTTGAAATTCAAATTACTTTTCGTTGCAAAGAAATTTGTAATGTGCCGCTTTTTGAATAAGCGGCATCGTAAATTACAAATTTTTTTATACCAAGATGTTATTTGCGTTTCAAACTAATTCCATTTTATAGAAAAACTGCATTAAAATGAGGGAAAGTCTGTTATTTGTGCATTAATTCATATTTAGACAAACTGTGTAATAAAATCTATAAAAATGTATTGCTGGTTGCGTGTTTGCTATAGAGCCCTCCTCATAAGTGACTAGACTGCCTCAACAAGCGCTCCGCCATACCTGCTGTGGGCCTGAGTGCTAACCTGATGGACGTTCGGTTTTAGCCTCATAAAATCAGGAACAAATAGGAGTTTCACTTTGAAATTTTGTCTGCGTAATCTTGAACATTTATACTACTTTATGCAATTAAAAAAAATCCAATTTTTTTAACTTCCTAATGTGGTTTCCCCCCTTCAACTTTTCCAAATGTGAAACGCACGTGACTAATAGAAGCGGAGTCAGTTTAAAAGGAAACATTTGTGGTGTGAAAAGCTATGGAAGCGATCTTAATAACGAAATTTAAACTTCTTTTGATGAAATGCGCCATATTGGAACGAAAATTGGGAAAATGAAGAAAATGTGTTTTTATTGGTTTACGATTCCTATTACTTTCAGATTTGCGCCAGTTCAGTAACGTTAAGGCGAATGACCATAAGAGAATTATTTTTCTATCACTACGATCTTGTGAAAAAGTCGTTATTTGCACCTTTAGAAACTGCATGAGTTATTGGTGTTTTTTAGCGTTACCGTTAAAGTTTCATTTCGGTTGAATGTTGTTCAACACAGTTCTCATATTTTAAAGCACAACATAGAATAGTTGTTAGGAGTTCCAAAGATAATTAGTATCTCTTTACGTTTTTATATTTGACATAATCGCTTTGGATGTTTCAATTTAATAATTTCGATTAGCACTTTTTCAACTGTGAACTGCGAAACAATCGTTTTCTTCTTACATGTCTTGTTCTTTAGAATTCTCTTTTTTATGAAAAAAGTGGCGACATTCTCGTTTCACTGAATTAACATCATATCATGTGCTGGATTGATACTATGTACTTCATCTAAATCAGGTTAGCTTTGGAGGTCGTTGACGTTGAGATTCACAAACTGAACACAGTGCTTATCACAGAGATTACTAAGTATACTGTTTGACCATGTCGCAAAATCATACAGAAGCAGTCTGTTTCTATGAAATTATTTTCCATTCCAGTTTCACTCTCTCCCACTACGTTAGTTTTATATAATCAGTTTAAAAGTTTAGGAACTTCCTAGTGATGGCGTAGACAAAAGCTTAAGTAGGGTTGAAAAACGTAATAACTCGGCCTTTCTTTGATTTAAAAAAAAATAAAAATTCTAGTGGGTAAGTACATGTTACACCTAAAAAATTGACCCCCAATTAAGGTTATACTTACTTAAGTCTCTTCTAATGTAATTAAATGTAGATCAAAAATTGGAAGCGCAAATTTCAAATCGCGATTTATGTAACCACAAATCAGTCATTAACAGCACACCTCCACACCTTCCACACTTCTCCGGAATGTATACTTGGTGATGGTAGAGGTCTCTCATTTACTTAAACTAACTTTCAGGGAAGAGGTAATTTACTAAAACCGACAACAGACGCTGAGTCTAATAACTCGGCCGAGGGCTCGGAAACGCAGAGCCCCTCGTCCGATTCCGCACCCACGCCAAAACCCCAGAGGCCGTTTACCTTGCAGGTATTTTTCGTTTTTGTTTTTGTTTTATGTTTTTTTTTGGCTTTGGTAATATTTTTGTGTAGATAGTTTTTGGCTTTTTGGGGTTAGTAATATTCGGGGTTTCCCTTGCGCTGTCTCTTTCGGGGTGAATCATTCGGTTTTTACTTTGAAGGAGATCGAGGAGGACGCCACCACCATGGAGAGGAAGTGGTCGGACGAGAACCAGCCGTTTGTTGAAACAAGGAGGACTCCCGACCTGGAGAACATGGACCTGGAACAGTACCAACAGTCTATTGCTCAGTAAGTGTAATTGCGTTGCATCGGAAATATTGTAATTAGTTATGTTGATTATAAATTTGCATTTGAATTTAATGAAGTTTCTGTTGCTGGTTCTCTATTAACCGTACATAGTACAGTCATTGAAGTTTTTCGTCTCCGAGTTCTTTGAAACTGAACCGATCGACTTGAAATTTGGCAGATAGTTAGAGAGAAGGTCAATGAACATTAGTGACAGAGCGCCGATTGACGCTTCCACACTGTTGGGGGTTGACACCGCTTCTCGGGGGTGAACATTTTTTTTTTCAAAAATAAAATCGATAGAGAATCAAATTTTGAGCAAAAAATATTCGTAGAATTTTTTCGAGAAATCAATAGTTTTTTAGTTATTCACGATTGAAAACTTGTAATTTTGAGCGAAAATAAAACACTTTTTCAAAGTATTTTTCGCGAATAACTCAAAAACTACGCATCTTATTAAAAAAAGTGTAATGAACAAAATTGTAGCTCATAAATAAACAAAGAAAATCGTTTTTTAAAAAGTGTTGTACGTCGTATATAAAGCGAAATATGGTTAGTGGAAGAGGACTTGTTTTGGGGAGAATACTAAAATCGATGTATTCAACGTCAAATGACGGAAAAAGGATTAATTTTACGTGTATAACGCTCCTGGGGTTTTTTGTAGTACTCAAAAAGACCTTCAAAATGAGCACTTATAAAAGTTAATTGGAGCAAAATTGAAAGAGTTATCGTCAAAAACAGACGGGTAGCTCATATTTTTTAAGGAAAAATGAGCAGTAAACACTGTACCATTTCCATCAGAATTAAAATTAATCGTAGACCCTTTACAATTAGTTTTGTTTTAGTGTTTTTCATACGATCCTGAAGTTAGACCGGTTTAGAATGCGTATTTTGTTTAATAATGTTCAGTAAAAGTTGAAAACGTATTTTTCATTATTAAAAAAAATTGCCTTATTTATACAGGGTGTCTCATAATTAGCTGCCAACCCTGAACAGGCCGATTCTATGATCAAAACTAAATAAAAAAGTTGATATGAACATGGGTCCGGAAATGCTTCCTAA